AGGAACTATCTTCCCACTCTCATAGTCATGTGTTTTTATTTTAACAGAGCCTGAAAAAATACCACTTGTCCAAGGACTCATATGTTCAGAAACCACTTTCCTAAGAAAATTCTTTCTAAAAAAACAGGTCTTATTTATTCATTTTTAGACAGAGGGGAAGGGAAGGAGACAGAGGGAGAGAGAGATCAATGTGTGGTTGCCTCTCGAGTGCCCCCTACTGGGGACCTGGCCAGAAACCCAGGCAGGTGCCCTGACTGGAAATGGAACTGGTGACCCTGTGGTTCGTAGCCCACGCTCAATCTACTGAGCCACACCAGCCAGGGCTAAGAAAATTACTTTAAGTAAAAAAAAGTGAGTCAAATGAAAGGCAAATATGAGGTTAGCAGAGTCTCACAGTAAGTGGGGGGCTGGGGTCTGAAGTGAAAGCACAGGGAGACAGACTCAGAGTCAAAGGCACTCCGGAGACTTCCTCAGAACGGGGTCGTGCTGAAGCCGGACGCAGAGAGAGTCCCTCCGTGTCCCAGCAGCCCAAGCTTCCAGCACGGGGTCAGACGGCCTTTGCCTCTCGGAAGCCCAGAGGAAGCTGCCGGTTGGGTGTGGGAGCCAAGGCGGCTCCAGAACACAGAGTCTAAACCTAAAAGATGCTCCGAAGCAAGAGCCACACAATGAGACCCGTGCAGGACACGTCTGCCTCTCCTGGGGACACGCGCATGCACACACAGCAAGACACTTTATGGAGAGTGTCTTTTTCTCTTTTATGAGCAGGCCGGGCTGCAAGCACAAGTTCAAAGTGTCTGTGATGAAGCTCAGACCCAGAGACGTCCCCCATCCTCCTCCTCACAGTCGCCTAACTGAACTTGGCAACACTGAGCTTAGCTTGCCGAGGGGACAGAACTCAGGAGTCTCGAGGAAATCATCCTCTAACCTGGACTTCCCGTAAGCCTTGGGCTTGTAGGTGACCCCCAGGGCAGGCCCAGGTGACGCCCCCAGCCCACGGCAACCAGACGTGGGACCCCCCAGTTCTCTAGACTCCCAAATGCTGGTGTTGAGAGCTGGTCTGAAGATTGGGCAATCCTTCTGCAACCGAGTTGGTGGTTTCCGCTTTGCTGCTTTCTGCACAAATGTGAACAAAGGTCAAATAGGCTTGTCAGCTGACAGAGCAGTAAAAATACTTTTCGATGACAGATTGCCATCTGATTTTTGCTCATTACTCAGGAGTAGAACGAGGAAGGAGTGACACAGTCATCAGGGACATCGCTTATACTCCGAGCTGCTTGGTTAGGTAAACAAGGCCCTGGATTGTCTGTCTACAAAGATAAGAATGAAATGAGAGACAAGATCAGCCTCCTTCCGGCTATGAGTAGGCTCCTGCACAGGTACCTCAACTGGCTGGAGGGGAGAGGAAGTCTCCTTCATCTCATTACCAGATGCATTTCCATATGAATAAAAACCACCACGAGATACAACCAGTGACTACAAGTTTTACACACAGAACACCAAGGTGCCGGCGAGCACACGGAACAAATAAACAATCAGACCTCGCAGGTGGGGACACAGAACGTCGCGGCCGTTGTGAGGACTGTCTGGCAGGACCTGGAGAGGCTGAGCACAGAGTCCCCACCGGACCCCGCCGCCCCGTTCCCCGCTGTTTTACTTAAGACAAAAGAAACTCTGTGTTTCCACCAAAACCAGTACAGTCATGTTTAAGTGAGCTTTTTTAAAAAACCTGGCTACAGGTATACAGTGGAAGAGTAAAATTCTACTCGGCAATAAAAAGAAACCCACTATTGATAACATGTGACAACACAGATGAATCTCAAGACATATGGCAGGTGACATGGCAGGTGTGACGTTCTGGAAAAGGCAAAGCCATCTGGGTGCCGAAGGCTGGGTCCTCCTGGGGGCTTGTCCTAGAAAAGCAAAGTGGAAGGAAGTTGGGGGGATGAGACGGTTCTGGACCTTGACTGCGGCGGAACTGCTTGTTTCTGCACCTGTGTGAACACTCTCAGACCTGGGCACGCAGCACTTCTACCTGGTAAATGTTAAAATGCATAGAAAAAGAAGGTGCATTCCAGTGAAGTTGGCTTCTTTTTTCAACATATAACAAAATGTGGAACACACTGATATTGTTCTGACCGGTTGGATGCCTACAGCTGAATGACAATCTGGACCAAACAAAAAATGAAAAACCCTTTATGGTCACAAGAAAAACAATTAAATGTCCATTTCAATCTATACAGATGTCTATGTTGTAAAGAAGTTACTGAAGGATTAGTAAGACTTGAAGGCATAAACTATATAACATTTAGTTAAAATTCTATGGGGAGGAAGGAAATACACGTTCAAGGGGGGAAGGCTACGATTTCTGACCACAAGAGAGTGTTTGTGTTTAAATGGCATATACGCTAATCATATTTAGATCTCATTGGGCCCGTGAAGTGTTTGATTTTAAAATACTGACAACGATGGACAATAAGCGGGAAAGTTTACCCTCTGCAACTGTCTAAATTTAGGATGAAAGGTTCCCATGTGAACTTCAGACAGAGGGGCAGCGAATTTGGGAGCCCCAAGCCCACATCCCAGGAGGTCCTGAGTCCAAACCCATCACCCGAGGACCCGCCCAGGAACCAAAGGGCGAGTCTTCCCGCCCGGAGTCTTTCGGGTCTCCACAGTGTCTCTTATGTCACCACGGGGCCTGTGGCGTTACTGCAGCGCCTCTTCCATCATCGTCACACCCGAGTTGTCACGGCCTTTCTGCTGTATAATGGGGCGGCTTGCGTCACCACAGCAATATTGCATCATCAGTATGGTGACGCACACGGCGTGTTGGGCTGTTTACGTCATCGCGGCAACCCTACGTCATCCCATCTACCTGGTCACCACAGTGCGTTAAGCCACTAGCGCTGGTGATGTCTGCGTCACCGTAGCGTCGTCTACGTCATCATGGCTGGCAACGCTATGTCATTACATAGACACGTCCTCACGTGGGGACCCCACATCACCACGGTGACGCATGCGTCATCGCCGGCACCAGCCGGGGCGGGGCGGGGCAGGGCTGCGCAGTCACATCCTCCCTTAGCAGTGTTAGAATTACCCTTGATGGCAGCTCTGGTGTGAGGACGGATGCATTCGGTTTTAAAACCTTTTTTCAAACTAAAAGTTCGGGGTGTGTCTTCTGTTTTTTAAACAAACGAAGGTATTTTTGCGGGTCCCCTGAACAGCCTGCCGCGCCCTGCGGAGAAGTGACCCCGGCTCAGGGCGCGGAGACTCGGCGGCTGGCCACCAGGGGGAGCCCGTCCCGTCCGTGCAAGAAGCGCGCCAACCTGTACACTCACTCGTTTTGCGTGCCTTTGAGCCGAACCCACCATTGCTGGAAGCAGTCCCAGGGACTCGAGAAAATGCTTCGGAGAAGGGCCGTTTTACAGCTTATTTTATGCATCAAAACCAGAAGGAAAGACGTAGGGGGGGGCCACATGAAATCTTTGGGTGGTAGATTAAGGGAGCCAGAGAAAGCAAAGGTGGGGGCCGGTCTGGGTAGGATAAAAACGGAAAACGGGGAGACACCCTCCGCTGGGGGGTGCGCTGGGTAGTTCATTAACGTTCACAGCGCACGTAGAGGGCCTTTGCGCCAGATAACCACGACCAGCTCCGCTGCGGTGGCAGATTGTGCCCGGGGCGGGGGGGGGGGGGGGGGGGGCGGGCGGCGTCTAGAAAAGATCACTCTGACATTTTTCAAAGGTATGTTATTTTAGATGCCAAAACACAACAGTCTCCCTGCGGGTAAAGATTGACCTTTGTCAGGGAAGGTTCCCGCCCAGGACGTGCCCGCCCGCCAGCCTGCCTGCCTGCCGTGACCTGCTTTCGGTGGGCAGCGCTTGTGTTCGGACCGTCCTGCGCGTTTACTGCCAAGGTCTGTAAGACCTGCCGTGCGGGCCTGCCCTGAGCGTGTCTGGGTTGGTCTGCGGCCCCGACGCCAGCAGCAGTGTCAGGAGGCAGAGGCGGGGCCGTCGCTGCTGCAGCGTCGCTGGGCGTGTCTGGTGAGGCTCAAACGATGTCCCCCCAGCCCCCAGTGACCCCAAGTCCTGAGAGAAACTGGTCCAACCGCGTTATGGTCCCTGACACATCCCCACTCCTGGCACAGTGCCTAGCGTGGCGCAGCAGAGGAAGGAAGAAGAGTATGGCGTGTGTTTGCAATAGGGGAAAACTGGAGACCGCCGCCATCCCACGGAGAGGGCGTGGGAGTGGCTGTGGCTGGAGGCCAGTGCGCAGAACGAGGTGGCTGGAGGAGGAGCCGGGGACAATGTCCAGGACAGGAGCAGGCAAACAGTGTCCAAGGTGGATGGAAAAAGACAAGGATGATTCGTCATCACAGACCTTAGTAATGGTGGCAAGCTCGTGTGTCACCTCTCCCACGTGCCGGCTCTGTCCCAAGTCCCAGAATGTGTTTGCACATGAACTCCCGGAGCCTCGCTCTGCCAGGAGGTGGGTGCCGTGCTCCCCCCTTTTCGGGCGGCGGGACCAAGGCGCCGAGCGGCCAGGTGAGCTTGCCTACAGTCACAGGACTAGGAAGAGGCAGAGCTCAGATTCCAGCCCAGGCCCGCGGGCTCCCATCCACTCACTCTCTTAACCACTTCTTCCCTGCCATTTATGTAACAAGAGAAAGCAGGAGCCCAGAACGACACCCCACAAGCCCCTCGATTTGTATAGAAACACGCAGAACACGGAGCCCAGGGGCTTCTGTGCCAAAGTGGCAAAGCACCTGAGTTGTGCTTGGCAGGGCCTTGGGTCCCACGCTTTCGACGCCAGAACCGAGTTCCCACGGCATGTGCAGACGACGTGAAATCCACGCTGCGGTGACACTGTAAAGCGGAGTCGTGGCCACCCAGCCCGTGAGAGACTCACGGCAGCTTCCAGAAAGGAGCTATTGACTCCAAAGAGCCCGGCGCAGGAAGCCGCCCCCCACCCACCCCGACCAACAAATAGGCTGTTCCAGACTTGAGTGTTTGCTTTTAAAAAAGTTTATTACTTTCATAGTGATTTATTTTTAAAAGACGATAAAACTCATTTTCTTCCAGTAGAAAAGAGACAGAGGCCCCAGAGACCAGAAGCTGCAGGCGGAGAGGTCTCCCACCGGCCCAGACCCCAGGCTGGCCGGGCCCAGAACTCCCCACTTCTGGCCCGGCACCTCGGAGAGGAGGGCCCTTACCAGGGGCTGCTCTGGGCAGAGCCTCCCACCACCCCAGCCAGGGAGTGGCCGGTTCAGTATACAGGTGGGTGTCAGTTTGGCTGCAGGGAAGGGGCCCTAGAGTCCTGCGGGGGCTGGAGAGACAGCTGGGCAGCCTCACGGCATCTCTTCCTTGAGCTGGTTTCTGAGGCCCGTGGAAGGGGCTGCGCCCCAGCCCGGGAGGTTACAGAGAGGCGGAAGCTCCGGGTCGGGCTGGGCCCTGAACCCGCAGCCCCTGCTCACTGGCTTTGGCAGAAGAAGCCTGCGCACCCGGGGCCGGCTTTCTGCCCCTCCCGGGGAAGCTCTGCCCTGCTGGGTGAGCGCCCAAGCGGGGACTGCAGTGTCTCCAAACTGATGGAGTGGCTGCTGGGGACAGGTGGCCCCATGGCTGAAGGGGCTTGCCCCAGAGAGAGGACCCAAGGCCCAGAGGCCTGTGGGTGCCTCGGAGAGAAGGTTCCGGAACAGTCCCCATTGGCGAGCCTCTTTCCTTGATTCCCCTCGGCAGCATCTCCATCCCTGAGTGTGTGTGTACACCTGCGCACGCGTGTGCTTACACGAGCTGGGGGCGTGTGCAGCATGCGGGTGTGTGTGTGTGTGTGTGAGGCACCTGGGCAGCTCAGACTGTGGGACAGGCAGGCTGTCCGATGAGGGGGTCCTGAAGAAGCGGGGTGGAGGGGCTGGGGAGCTGGTCTGGCGGAGCGGCGGGGCCGGGCTGGTCCTCGGCATCTTCGGGACCCTGTGGAGAAAGGGGGGCTGGGTCGCCACGCCCGCCACTGGGCCTCCCCAGCCCCGGCCCCACCCTGCTTCCTGCCCCCAGGTCCTCTGGAAAGCCCCTGGCTCTCCCGGTCCATCCAGCTCGAGACGAGAAGAGCCAGAGTGGCCTCCGGAGGGGCTCCCACTGCCCTCGCCTTATTTTAGAGATGGGAGACGGAGGCCGAAGGGACCTGCCTAACCCCACGAGAAGGGCAGAGCAAGGCACAGGGCTGCCCACACAGCACAACCCCCTGGATGCCCGTCAAGAGGAGAAGGCGTTTCTAGAACAGTCACGAGATGGCCCTCGACCCAGACAGCTGTCCCGGAGGGAACGCAGCGTCAGGGGAGGCCAGCCGCAGAGTGACGCCCGTGCGGTGACGCCAGCCCCTGAGACAGGCTGGAACAGGACAAAAGACGAACATTCCCGTCACCGTTAGAAGTGTTGGCAGTGCCGCCGAGTCCGGGCGAGAGGGGCCTCAGGTGTTGTAATTTATTTGGTTTACATTAAAAATTTTTTTCTCAACCTAAAAAAACTGAAGATAAGAACTGGGGCAACTCTTCATCCCCTAAGCCCGCAGCCCTCCTTCCCCAGCAGCTGTGCTGGGAGACCCCTGAACGTTCCGCCCCGCTGTGCCTCTCCACGGGGGCCCTGCACCCCGCCGTGGGCAGGACAGAGGGAGGCCGCACTCCCGGCCCCCTGCCTCCAGGACGGACCCCAGGCTTCCGGGATTGAGCCCCACTCAGCCGGGGCAGGGAGGGAGGGCGTGACACACACCGCCCCACAGAGGCAGCGCGGGACACCCAGGGGTGGCCAGCATCTCAGTCCCATGGGCCCGAAGAGCCTGCTGTTTCCCAAGCAGCCCACTCACAAACCCCTAGGGAGCTGGGAGGCGAAGTGGGCTCCTCCTTCTGCCCCCTTTGGCTTGTGTTTCGGGGGGGAACCGGGGCTGGGAATGGGACAGAGGCGAAGGGGCAGGTGAGCAAGGGGCAGGAGCCTGTGCCGAGGGCTGTCTGGGCTGCTGCCGCCCGAGGGCTGCACTGTGTGCCCGCAGCACCCTGCCCCCAGGCACTGCGTCCACCCAGACCAGCTGTCCTTTTCTCACTCACGTGAAACAGCCCCTCTGGGCTGGTTAAGGTGCACTTCCTGGCTGTTCCCAAGCAAGGCAGCCCCGCAGGCCACCCCCACGCCCAGGTGCAGGGCCTCCCCAGCCACCGGCCAGGACTCAAAGCCACCCTGCAGAGGCCCCAGGTACCCCAAAGCACCGGCCACTTCCAGGCGCCTGGCCCCCACACCCAAAGCCCCAAGTACACGTGACTGGGGGGGACTGGGCGTCATCTGCAGGGAGGCTGAGCCGCCTTCCAGGCGGCGGGGCAGTGCAACCTCTGCAAGTCAAAAACTGCCCTGGCAACTTGAGAATTGGGTCCTGCCAAAGAAAGAGAAGACCGGGCAGAGTTTTTGTTTAGGAAGCGAGGGGCTGGCAGACATCCTGGCTCTGTCCAGGGCGTGAGGCTCTGGCCTCACAGCCCCCCCCTCCCCGTGCAGTAAAGTCGGAGTCCCCCCACCTCAGCCCGATGCCACCGCCCCTGCGCCCCAAGAGCACTACGCAAGTTTCTGCAGGAGGGAGTCGTAGTGGGAAGGGGTCGGGGTGCCACTGAAGCCAAAGTGCCCACAAGGAGGTGTCCCAGAGGACTTCTCGAGAGAGGAAGGAAGAGGGGCCGGGCTGCGTCTCTGGCTAGAATGTGGTTGGGCCCCGCCCCCTTATTCCCAGATTGCAAGAGGAGCCCCCATTGGGGGGTTGGGGGGGCACAGGCGTCCCTCCTCCTTCCCCCTGCTTCCCTTGCTCCCCCAACCCCTTGCACGACTGCAGCTCCTGCCAACACAAACGCCTCGCGCCCACCACTTGGCATTTTGTATTTCATTTCTTCTCCAGTCCCGGTAGACCAGCGCCCTGGAGGTGGCCAGCTGGCCCTGAGGACCAGGGTGTCGCCTGGCCGCAGCTCCATGCTCCGCCCTCCTGAGACCTCAGACTGGATGGCCCTCGGCCCAGGAAGAGGGCTCCCCACGGCAGCTGGCTGCTCCCCCCGCCCCCAGGGCGCCAGGTGAAACCGGGGCACCCAGCATGGTTTCATGTTCAGGGTCATGCTGTGGAGCAGGCTCTCGGGGCGAGCGTGTCTTGTCAACTGCGTGGTACACACTTGTCCTGAAAACCACCGTTGACCTGAGACTCAGATTTAACTGGGCAACCTCTCACGGCTATTTCTTCATTTCTGTGTGTGCATATGACTACATTGCTCCATCTGGCGGTCCTACCGTCAGGCCGAGTCCTGGACATTCGGCTGGTGCTCAAGGGAGGCCCGAATTCTCTACGCTTGGCCAGCGCCCCCGGTCTCATGCAGACCCCTCTTCACCAGCCTCCCCTCAGGGGTCCGCAGAATTGCGGGCTCCCGGGCCCCTTCTGGATTTTATACCAGGAGGCGTCTAGAAGGAGCCGCGTGATTAGCAAGCCTCCCCGGAGAAGGCGGCAGCCCCAGAGCCGGGAGCAGCAGCCGGCCAAACCCCGGACCCTGCAGCCTGCAGGTCAGACACCAGCCCCCAGGACACTGGGCGTCCTGGAGGGAAGAGGCGGCCCTGAGAACAAAAGGTACAGGTAGGCATGTCTCCGCCTCTGGTCGGTCCACAGTCCCGGCGACGCTCCGGCTGCAGAAGTACGTGTGTTTTGGGGCGGCTGGGGTCCTTCTCTACTCACTACGGGTGGGGGGCGGGGGGTGGGGCGTTGTTACCTGGTACCCACCTACAGTCTTGCTTCTTGCAGCACCGTGCCCTTGGCGGCTGGGGTCATCAGGGATTCAGAATAAACCTGCACGGTCTCCTTATCCTTTGAGCCCTTTTTATTACTATTCCAAAATAAATAGCATCTCTCCTAGAAGACAACCAAGCTAATTTATAGTCGGCGTTGCAGCCACGGGGAAACCGTGTCACGCGGTTCTTGGGTTTTCGGGAGCACCGGGGAGGGTGCAGAATTCTTGAGTCCAACACCACTAACCACGGGGACGGGGGTGCTGCAATGTGGGGGCCGAAGCTGCCCGTCACCAGAGACAGAAACAGCGGCACCTTCAGGACACGGGCCTGGCCGGACGGGCAGGCCGGGCTGAAGAGAGTGCGCCCACTGGACAGTTTAGGGATCCAGTGGTCGGACTGGCCAGAAATCAGCGGGGGGGGGGGGGGGGGGGAAGGGTGTCATTTTAAATCAACCAGAAACAGATGTTTCTGTTAAAAAAACGATTGGTTCTTTGCAAAGCATGACTTGAGAAGCAAAATGTCTCCAAAAAGAAATTAAACTACACTGAGTTGTCCAGCATGAGATGTTTTCCCCCCCAATCAGGACAAAGGCCTGGAACCTTTAAGGCCTTTAAACCCCAGCAAAGCTGAAACTTACAAAATGGGATACATTTTCATTAAGGGACCTCCACTGAGACCTGCAGAAACCCACCAGCGGAAACCCACCCCGGAGGCAGAGGCAGCCGTGGGCTGGGCGCTCTGGCTTCCGGTCCCTCCCACCCTCTCAGCATAATTTCTGTCGAGAAACCATAGGGAATTCCCTTCTGCTCACTGGAGTGACAGCCCCGCTCAGCCTGGCCGGGAGGAGGGAGGGGAGTCTGAAGGCCATGGAAGGGCCTGAGGACTCAGGCGAAGGGCCTGGATGGGAAGGTTTCTCCCGGTGAGTAAGCGAGCGAGCGAGCTGCCCCCAGAGACAGAAGGAAGAAAGAGTTGTCGCAAAGCCGTGACAGAAAGCAGGCGTGGCAGAGGGCTGGGGGGCGGGGTGGGGAGCTGGGGCCGAGTGGGTAGCACCCCACCCCCAAGACCTTGGCCTGGGGCCCCAGGACAAGGTGGGAGCCCCCAAGGTGGCTTCTGGTGCATGGATCTCAAATGGCTTCTCAAGACTCCCTGTGACTGAGCAGTTTCCCCCCCCCCCCCACCCTCCACAGTGTCCCTGGAGCCCCGCCGTCACAGGTCTGTCACCGTGTGACAGCAGGAACTGCTTCCCGTCGGCCTTGCCCCTGGGCTCCAGGTTCACGTTCTGGCCATGGCTGAACCCCCCAGACCGTGCATGGTGCCTCGGAAAAAGTCCGCCGCTCAGCCCCCCAGTGGGCGTGGCTCAGTGGGTCCGGTGTTGTCCGGCAAAGTAAAAGGCACAGGCCTGGGTTGCGGGTTTGATCCCTGGTTGGGACGTGTTCAAGAGACAACCGATTGGCCTTTCTCTCTCACCTTGGTGTGTCTTCCTCTCTTTCTCCTTCCCTTCCCCTCTCTCCAAAAAATAACTTTGAAAACAGTCATGAATGGGAGGATGCACAGCATCAAGAACGGGTATTGTCACTGCCTCTTCCTGCCACTAGGGGGGGCTGCCTTCCTCTCCAGCTACACTTCCCTCCAAAAATAAGCTGTGCCCACCGGGTCTGAGCCACTGCCCCTCACTCACACCCCTCGCTCACCCGGGGCTCCTCACTGGCCCCTGCTTCTGCCCCTCACACAGCAGCTGACAAAGCCTCCAGTATCTTCCTGTCCCCCGGGAATCGGTTCCAACTGCCGGCCCTGTGTGACCTGGCCCTGCCCTGCCCCCTCTCAAACGCCAGCCACCTCACTGCCACCCAGCCGCCATGGCCCTGCGGGGTCACTTCCGAATGCCCCATCGTCCCTGCCCCAGGGCGCTGGCACTGGCCCTTCCTTCCTGTGGGGAATGCGTCCTGCGTGGGAGCTCAAATTCTGCCTCTCCCCACACTCTCTCTGCAGTTGTCCTTTGCCCCCTTGGACACCGGGCTGCCCGGTCTGGGAGCCAGGGTGGCTGTGGGGGGCCTTCGAAAGGGGCAGGTCCGACTCCGGACCCACCGCAAGAGTAAAGTGATTTCAAAGGCCAATTCCAAAGACCTGACACGGGGAAAAATTACAAAAATTAATATTCTACCTTTATAGTGATTGCATGTTAGAATGGTCCTATTTTGGGTATGCTCTAATGGAATAAAACACGCTTAAAATGGATTTTTTTACTTTGCGTTTTCTTACTTAGAAAACTTAAATTTACCACCAGGCACGTGGCTCGGGCTTGCTCCTGCTGGACAGCCCCTCACGTTTTCTATCGTCTTTCTTGTGTGTTTACCTGGCCTTTGTCTCCCCACCTGGAACGCAAGCCCCGCCCCCCGCCACTGAGTGCCTGCCCCTGACAGAGCCTGGCACCCGCGGGTGCGGACTCCACGAACAAGCCACTTGAGCACCAGTTCTCATCACCCGAAACCCAGAGGCAGCCCCTCTGGGGGAGGGTCCCCAGGCCTCCCAGAACACGCAGAGAAGTGGCCATGCAGGACGCAGGAGGAGCAAGGACCCAGCGACAGTTCCCCTGATCCGGCAGAGACCCGGACGCTGCCCGGGGCAGGCTCCAGGCTGTGGGCTCTGCCAGGACCGTGGGAAGGTACGACCGGTCCATCCCACTCAAGCCCCTCTCTCCCCCAGCAGGCAAGCACTGGTCCACCCGGCCCCGGCCATGCTCCAGCCACCACTTACATGGCTCCGGATTTGGTAGATGACAGGGACGAGTAGCAGGACGACCCCCAGGGCGAGAAGGACGTACTGGGCGTAGTGCATCACCTTGGGCAACAGCACCAGCTGGGTGTAGAATGTCTGAAGTGTCTTACCCTCCATGGCTCCACTCTGGGGAGGGAGGAGGACAGGCACATGGGCTGGGGCCACACACAGTTGCCCCCGCACCCTTCCCCACCCCAGCCTGCAGGCGGTCTATTTCCTCCAGGGCCACACCAAGAGACTACATTTCCCAGACTTCCTTGCAGTTGGCAGGGTCATGTGATCACATTCTGGCCAATGGAAAGCAGGCACAGTAATACTACAACCTTCACACCTGGCCAACCTGCCCCTGGAATTCCCTCCACTGCTTTCCCCACCCACGGAACAGGGGTGGATTCTGAGAGTCTTGAGGGGGCCAGCTGCCCAGGATGGAAGGAGCGAGGCCGACCCCGAGTGGCTGCATGGAGCAGAGCCCTGCCTCCCACCAGCCCACACCAGACTGCACTGAGCACTTGACATTTGGAGGCTGCCTGGTCCGGCTCCCCCCAGTTTAAAATGCAGAAGTAACCCTGAAAGCCGGGAGAAGAGAAATTTCATGTGAAAAGCTGACACCCTAAAAATCGACTTCCCTAGTCTTGGGAGAAGTGGTCACACTACCATCAAAACACTACCCCCAGGGCTTCGTCCTCCCTGAGTCAGGCCGTCCTTTCCACTCAGGGGGGTGGACGATGTGCTTTCAGAGCAGAAAGCTTCCCCTGCAGTGTTTCAGGTCATGCGGTCCAGCTCCCCGGCCCAGCCCCCGCCTCCAAGGACGGCCCCCAGCCTCCGATGCCCCCACGGGCTCCCCACTGAGGTACCACCGGCCACGCCCAGGGGAGCCCAGCACAGGAACAGCGAGGTGGCCTTACCTCCTCAAACCACATCATCGGCAAGACCACTGGCGCGATCTTCCCGGTTTGCCTGGAAATAAGGGAGGCAAAGCCAGTGAGAGGTTTGGTCCGGGTGTTCAGCGGGCAGGCATGGCCGTGCTGTCCCAGGCTCCAGGGGCAGGTGGGCTTGGACAGCAAGGGCGCCGTCAGCGCAGGCTGGAGGCACAGGTATTTCCTGGCAGGGAGCAACATGACAACCCGACAAGACCTTTTTCAGTTGAAAACTCCCCCCACAGGGGGAGGGCTGCCTGTGACCTGGCCGACAGCCACTGGCTCCTGCTGGAAGCAGAATGGCAGCTTCCTGGGGATGACCACACGCCCAGCTGACAGACATCGTGGTTTAGGCTGACAGCTGCTGTCCTTCAGTGGGTCGGGGTTCGGGGACCTGCTGGGTAGAGGGGCCTGGTGCTGAGTCTCTCGTGGGCTTCCCTGGGACAGCACTTCACACTCGTCATCTCAACGTGCTGCTGTGAGTTTAGTGAGGCCTGCGTGGCTCCCCGGGGGGCGGGGCCCGCACCCGGTTCTCCCGCCTCCCCCAGGGGGGCCTCCTCCTTGGCCGATTTTGCTTTGGATCCTTTCACTGGAGTAAATTACAGCCGTGAGAACAACCCCGTGCTGGGTCCTGTGACCTTCCCAGCTGATCCTCGAGCCTGAGCTTGGTTTCAGGGACCAGACATAGCCACTCACTAGCTTGCTGTGTGACCTCAGGCAGCTGCCTGCTTTCTCTGTGCCTCCTCTTCACAGGGCTCACGTGAGGCCTGAATAACATGAGTGATGTGCTTAGGAAAATGCCCAGCGATGTAAAAAGTGCTCTGAGTCCATCGTGATTGCTGCTATGAAATGCCACAGTGGGCACGACTATTGCAGCCTCCTCACTGCTGGTGGGCACCACTGTCCGAAGGGGGATGGAGCTGGCTCGGGAGCCAGGGGCTGCACACAGCTCGGAGAACCAAACCCTCGCCACGACTCTCCGACGGCTCTCGGGCCACCCCCAGTTAAGGAGAGGTTCATGCTGGGCAGTGAACTCACACGGCGTCGCCCATGGGGAGAGCTCAGAGCACGCTCTGGAAACAGACTTTAGTCTCTTTTATCTGCATTTGCAAAAGTTGCTGTGAGTTCAATGCAAGTGGTATCTTATCTCCAGACAGAGCTCCTGCGAGCAAACAGCACAGAAGTCCCTGGCAACTCAGGGGAGCCCTGCTTCTGGGCGGCTGTGTCCCCAGACCTTCCCCAGGCCTGTTCCTCATCTGCCCTGCAGGTGGCGACAAGCGCCGAGGTGGAGGCTGGCTCTCCTGAAACCTGCGCTGGAGCCAGGACCTGGAAGCCCAGGAAGGTTGGAGGAGCAGCTCCAGGCCCGGGAAAGAAAGAATCCAGCTTCCCAGGGGTGTTAGACCCCTGGGGAGGGATTTGAACAGGAGGGAGCTCGTGTTAAAAATCCCGATTTTGAAAAATGCAGTTGAAAATGCACAGGATGGGACCCCACTGGGCCCCGTGCCCTGGTGCCGGGCAGGGCTGGCCCTCGGCCCCATCCCCACCCAGGCTGCCCTCTGTTCCGTCACATGGCTGCCCCGGCGCATCTGAGCTACCAGACAGGGCGACGGGCTGGTGGCACCCTTGGCAGCCCACACCCGCCCCCCCAGAACGAACCCTCTGAGCAGCCTCCAGAGGCAAATGAAAAGCCAGGTGGGGCCGAAGAGGCGGGGGCTGGTCATTCCCTGCTGCTGCTCCCAGCCACCTGCTTTTCTCTCCAGCTGAGAGGCGGCTCACCCAGCGGCCCCGAGGCCCACATTCCTGCAGCCCAGGAATCTCTCTGCGGGTCTTTTCAAGGAGACTATTTCAAATATGCTGACAAGTACAGATGCCGACAGGCAATGACCCCGCGTGTACTCCCCGCTCAGCTCCGTCAGGACGCAGAGTTCTGACACACCGTGGCGAGGACATGGAGCCGGGACCTCCTCCGTGACCGAGGGGAAGGTCCACGGTGTGGCCTCGCGGGAAAGAGCCTGGCAGGCCCTCGACTGTTAAACTCAGGGTGACCGTCTGAGTCAGCAGTGCTGCTCCTGAGGGGCCAACCCAGGAAAATGGGGACACCCGCCACAGAGAGACCAACCCGTGAACAGCCGGAGCAGCACGGGTCACCGCGGCCGAAAAACAGACACAGCCCAAACGTCCATTGGCCGATAAGTGAAATGTGGTCTGTCCAGACCACGGAATGTGACTCAGCCAGAAGGCACAGGGCCCTGGTACCCGCTGCGATGTGGGTGACCTTTGGGAACATGACGCTGGGTGACAGACGCCAGACGCAAAAGGCCACGTGTTGTAGGATTCCGTTTGTAGGAAATGTAAGAAGAGACAAATCTATGGAGACGGAAGTAGATCGGTGGTGGCCTGGGGCTGAGGGAAATGGAGGGTGACTGCTAATGTGTTTGGGGTGTTTTGGGTGGGGGAAGGTTGATGAAGATGTTCTAAGATCATGGTGGGCCCTGGTTGGTGTGGCTCAAGGGGTTGAGTGCTGGCCTGTGAACCAAAAGGTTGAGGGTTCGATTCCCAGTCAGGGCACATGCCTGGGTTGCAGGCCAGTTCCCAGCAGGGGACACATGAGAGGCAACAACCAAACATTGATGTTTCTCTCCCTCTCTTCTTCCCCCTAAAGATAAATAAATAAAATCTTTAAATAAATAAAATAAAATAAAAGTGCGGTGATGGTTGCACAGTTCTGTGAATATACTAGTTACTGAATTGTATACCCTTAAAGGGTGGGCTTTATAATATATGAATTAAAGCTTCATAAATGTACTATTAAATATTTTTTTAAATCAGTGCTTAAAAAATTCTTCCTGCCACATGAATCGTCACCGTGAAGACCGCTGTCTGGTAAGTTTCCGTTGTCAAACGCGCAGTTTTCCGGGGTTTCGTCGTCGCCACTCTGTTCTCTGTTGAGTGGCAAACGGCTTGGATGGGCCGTTCTGCCTGAACTGGGGGACCGACGGTGAGAGAGCAAGGGGTCTGGGGGCAGCGAGGTCAGGATGCAGGTGCTGCCGGGAGGGCCCCCCGCCCCTGCCCCCGCCCCCGGGCCCCACTCACCCGATGCCTTTGACGGATTTGACGTACAGGCTGAGCTGCAGCTTCACCGAGCAGTTCATGGGGATCCCCGTGACCTGCGGCAACGCACACAGTGAGGGCCCGGCCTCCCCGTCCGCCCCGGTGGGGGAGGGACGTCCCAGCTCCAATGCCTCCTCTCTGCAGGGGAAGGTGGGGGCGGGGAGCCTCCTCCTCCCTCTGGACCCTAAAAGGTAAATAAATTCAAGCCCCTCCAGAGAACAAACCTCTGCCCTGACGGAAAAACCCGAATCCCTCCGCCTGCCCTCTGGGGCGCTCCTTCCCCGAACTCAGAAAGACATTTTCACCGCACCCCCCACCCCCCATGAAACAGCAGAGAGCCGCGGGCGCAGACAGCCCGGCTCCTCTCGGTGCCACAAGTCCCAACCATCTGGGCCCAGGGACACAGCTTCCTCCGGTCTGTTTGTGCAGGGCGCCTTCTTGTTATGGGGAATTTTTACATTTCTGGTTGTGCCCGGGATAGAGAGCGCGGCCTTTGTGCAGAATCTATTTTTCTTAAACGAGACGTGTTTTAAAAATAATAAGTAAGTGGTGATAATGAGTCCGTGGCAGGCACGCACGACGGCCCCAAGTCAGGAGAGGCTTCTGGAACGAGGCCAGGGAAGTGCGGTGGGAAGGAAGCCAGGTTTGGGTCAGGGGACCACGACCGGGCTTCTCAGATCAGACTGCTGGGTGGAGACACCCTGCCCACCTCCCAGAGGGTCTGCAGGAGCCACCATGGGGCCTTGAATGGCCGTGTCATTGTCACCTTCCCCAGGGGGAAGGCCGGTGTTCTGACCACCGCCAGGGCCCGGGTGGCCCAGAGGAGCAGGTCAGAGGTCAGGCTGCCGTGACCGGGGGAGTTTGAACTTAAGAGCCTGGTGGGATAGGAGGGAGACCACCCTGCGCAGGAGTCAGCTCAGCAGGCCAAGCTGCTCTCCCTGCAGGGGGCGCTGGCCCGCCAGCCCATGACCGGAGTCCAGGACCGGATCTTGGGAGGTCTCCCGAGTACCCGCCACCCCTGCCAGGTCCCTGACGGGTAAGAGGGGCTTTCTGTGGGGGGCCGTTCAGGCTGACACCTGCTGTCCTTTGGGAGGGGGACTGGGGTTCGGGGACCTGCTGGGCAGAGAGGGCCTCCGTGACTGGGCTCAGTGTCCTCCTGCCGGACCTGAGTGCCACCTGACTGATGACACCCTGAGTCCTGGGAGCTCTCCCGGCCATCACTGAACGGGGGGTGGCCTTGTGGGCCACCCTCCTGCGGTCACTCTCTACGACAGACTGCACCCTGAGTCTCCACTCGGGCCCTCCCTCCGGTCCTCGGCGGGCCCACAGCTCCCACACCTCAGGGGGGAGGGACTCGGACCTGCAGCCGGGTGCCGCCCACGCCCATCCTGCCCAGGGCTCAGGAGAAGCTTCCAGAGACATTCTGTTTGGGGGCTAAGGCCTAACAGGCAGTGCCCTCCCACAGTGTCCAAACAACAGAAGGGGAAATGACACTTCCTCCTCCCCCCACCCCCCCTTTAATCTGCACTGACGGGAGAGGGTGGGGTGAGCAGCTGGGAGTCTCTCTCAGGGCCCTCACTGCCATTTTCCCAGCATGGGGGAGGGGGTGGGGGAGGAAAGCCACACACTGAAGTGAAAGTCCCTGGTGAGGATGGGCCGAGAGACCGCAGCTCCCAGGAGCAGCAGAGACTGGCTGTAGGGAGCCGAGAGAGAGGCTCCTCAGAGCTGCTTACAGTTCGGGGTGGGGCCTGGGCAGAAGGGGCAAGGGATGAGAAGTCCAAATGGCAGCTACAGAATAGTCCCGGGAACACAGAGTCCGGCCTGGGGGACCTAGTCCACGATGCTGTACTGACCACCAATGTCACCTCCACGAACTAACAGTGACCAAGGCCACAGGCACTGCAGGAGAATGCAGGACGCCGTGGCGTGGCGCTGGAAGAGCCGTGTTTGAATCAGCTCTGCCCCTCGCTCACCCCCATCAGTACCAAAGCCACACTCGCCGAGGCTCCAGGGCCCACCCTGTGCTGACTGCGAGAGTCCCCGACGCACAGGAGCCCCCTCCGGAGCCGCGGATCTGGTCTGCTGGCGGTGCCGCTCAGCCTACCCAGATGGCAGTCCCCTGCCCCGCTCCCCGGGACTTGGGAGTGGCTGTGCCCCCCAGACCACTACCAAGCTCAGCAAGTCGATGTGTGTGGGAGTACCCGGCTGGTGCCTGGGTCACAGCGGGCCCGCAACACACAGGTGCCCAATGAGAAGGGTCTGCAGCCACGGCTGACTTCGCCAGCCTGGGCTTTTGGAGAGAGAGGATCGAGAGAGAGACAGAGAGAGAAAGAGAACTGCCAGGGGCCAGCAGGCGGAGTCTGTGGCTAAGAAGCACCGGGCAGAAGAGCTTCAGAAAAGTCCTGTGGGGGCGACTGCGAGTCCACACAGGAGACAGAAGGCCCCCAAAGGTTTAAATCTGTGGTAGATGCCCCCAAGTCCAAGTGGGCACATTCTACAGGAAACAGATGCTGAGAGAAGAGGCAATGGCCCAGGACACTGCCACCGGAGGGCCACTGCGCAGGTGTGACACCCTCCTGTCCCCCTCCCCCCCATTTATCTGCAAGACACTCTAGAATCTTCTTGGTACTTCAAAATCTTTATGGTACGTTGGCGTAGCCAGAAGGCTGCTCCAGATAATTTGCAAGCTGATAACGCCTAATTAATTTACTGTCTTATGGTCCTTTTATAGTCGTGAGTTCGTAATAAGGAGATAATAAAGTTCTTGAACTATGGAATCAGGGCAAAGTAGGGACCTTTGATGGTTTGATATTCTAGAAGCTCTCAAAGCCAAAGAGAGCGAGGCTTCCCATCACCCCCTCCCCAAGCTGGGAGGGACGTGGGGACCACTGTGCACCGGCCAGAACGCCACCCCGCAGGCTGACGGGCAGAGGCTCACCGGGTGGATGTCCAGGAACAGGGAGTGTTCTTTCTCGTTGGGGTGCAGGCCGAGCACCGCGTCTGCCAGGACCGGGTCGGCGTTGTAGAAGTGAGGGTGGGAGAGGAACAAGGGTGCATCTGGAAGGCAGAGGGCAAAGACGGGGCATCAGGCACTGGCACGTCCCGAGGCTTCACGCCAGGTCCGGAGCCAGACACAAGGACGGACGGACAGACGGTGAAACAGAGCCATACCTGCAGGGCACCCCCGGACAACGGCAAGACACAAGCAACAATGACTAGATCACCCCTTCATTCAGTGGGAAAAGCACCCCAGAGGCACCGGCACTGGAGCCCAGCAGGGGCCAAGCTCTGTGCCACGGGGATGGCAAGCCCCGAGCTGCGGACTCTGGCGAGGGAAGGATCGAGGAAGAGGAGACGGCCGAAGGTTGCCAGGCCAAGGTCAGGGCGTGGCACCCCAGGAGGAGGGGGTCGCAGAAGCAAATGCAGGAGGCGGGAAGTGCCTGTGGAGCGGGCGGTGGGCCGGGAGGAGGGGGGGCAGTTGAGGGAGTCTAGGGCACAAAGGCGAGTCAAGGCCGGACTGGAACTCGGGTGGGAGGAGGAGAACTTGATCATCCAGCCAAGCAGCCCAGGACGCCTTCCGCAGGCCACGCAGCGGCGGTCCCACAGGCTCGGGCGAGCACGCCTGCGGCCGAGTCCCCCTGACATGCATGGGAGGGGACAGGACACGCCTGCCTCGCTCTCACCTAGTAGCCGGTCTGCGGGACGGACACCAGTGTGGGTGGACAGGGACGGACTTGAGCCCCTGAGCGAGAAATTTACACCCAAAAATGGGAGGTCAAGCCTCTCCACCAACCCGAGGGGGGCAGACAGGGGCGCGTCCTCGTGAGCTCGGGACCGAGACAACCAGCTGAGTGACAGCGAGTTAGCCAGGGGAGGAGGGGGGAGGGGAGGAGAGGGCCTCTGCCCCCCCCCCCCGGGCCTGGCACAGGCACGTGGTAGAGCGCGGATGGCCAGGGCCTGGGCGGGGGGAGCGCGGTACTGCTCCCCAGGATGGGTCCTCATTTTGGGGTGTTGAGAGTGTCCTGGAACCAGACAGAGGTGGTGGCTGTACTAAAGGCCACTGACCTGTCCCCTTCAGCATGGTTAATCCGAGGCTATGCAAATTTCGCCTCAATGAGAAAAAAGAATGAGAGAAAAAAACAAACCCCCGAGGTCTCATTCCCGGACTCCCAGTGCCCGACGGCTGCCAGGCTGGTGTTCTGTTTGGCCGCCTCATGGGTCTGGGCCCCCTTCTGCTTTTCCTGGCACAGCCAAGCGCCGGGTGGAAATAAAAGCTGGGAATGTATGTATCTGTGTCTGACTTCACTTTTCCCAGGTCCTTCCACATCTGTCACCTTAACATTCCTCAATGTTAATTCCTTCATCCCAGCACCCAGAAGGGCCCTAAACTCCAGATAGATACACACACACACACACAATTGGCTTCTTTGAAGCAACAGCCAGTGCTTGGCTTCCACACGCAGCTGTATTTTAAGGTGGGGGCTGGAGGGGGGGGGCTTCATACCTGAGCCGTAACTGGCTAACACACACCCGCCACAATTAGAAAGTACTTTTAGGAAGAAGGACAATGGAGGCCAATAGACATCAGCTGTGCTAACCAGACACTGTGACCTGCACTAGGCTTTGACCTTGGACCGGCTGTCTCTCTATTAAAGAGACAGATGAGGGTCGGAGAGGTGTCTGAGCCCCCCAGCACTGCCCTCCTGGAGGTCATTAGAAAGGCAGAAAGGGAACAAAAAGTGGAAGTCCTCCTTCGCCACGGAGGTCACCATCGGGTAGAGCCGTCGGGTAGAGCCAGCTCCTTGCGCCTTTGACATCATCTCCAGCCGCCCCAGGAGATGATGTCTCTCGACTCGGAACACCCTGTTTCCCGTCTTCCCATCTCCACCATGAAAGGAGGCCGTCAAAGCAAACACCAGGACCCCATTGCCATAGGTGGCAAAACTTGGGGTCCTTGGTTTGGGAGGGGGTCACCCAGCCAGGTCCTTGAAGGTGGCGAATGTCAACCAGGGCCCTGGGCCACGCCTCCAAGGCTGGGGGGGGGGGGGAGACGGGGGCGGGGGGCTGGACCTGCTGTCGCCTGTCCTGGCTCCAGATGTTAAGGTCACGCACGTGGCTTTTTAGTAGCATGCATGCATTTCTTCTTATCTGATTTCCAAACAGACTGAAACCCTCCCAGGTTAAAAGTGCTAATTAATTTATTGCTCTTTGGCACAATTAACCAGCTCTATATCCATCATGATTACGAGGCTGTTGCGAAAGTCTCAGGCCCCTACGCAGCAGGGACGCCTGAAGAGCGTGAGTTCTCTGGGTCCAAGACTCTCTGGGGACCCGGAGAGGGAAACCCGGGGGTATTCCTCCAGAGAAAATGCCGGAGGAATGCGGAGCCGGGCAACACCAGAAGACACACTCAAGAACATTCCCAGCAGCACTATGACCACGTTAGAAAAACCGGGAACTCAGATGCCCGGGAACAGTGAAGGGGGCAAGGACACGGAGGCGTGTCCCCAGGGTGGGACGCTCCACAGCACCAAAGAGGCCGCCCACAGCACCCACAACAGTGGGGATGGACCCCGCCCATGGGACCGTGGCCGAAGGGGCCCGGACCACAGAGAAAGGGATACACTCTCAGGCCCCTTTCACATGGAGAGAGAGCGCGGGCAACTGGGAGGGGACGCGGGGCGTCTGGGGCTGCCCTCGTTCCGAGTGTCAGTCAAGGTGCTGTTTGGAATTTCAAGCTGTACATGCGGGCGGCGGACACTTGTCTGTACAGGTGCTTAGTTGAACTCGACCAGGAAAACGTCACTTGAAGGGCTTTCAATTCCCTAGAGCTTTTGAAGCTCTTTCGGCAGACGGGCTCAGGTGGTGCCGGTCGGACCGTGGGGGGTACGGGCAGGGAGGGCCTGCACCGGCGGGGAGGCCCCTGGAGCAGCGTCCTGGACAGTGACCGCGAGTCTGGAAGGTCCCTCGGGCGGCTCCAGGGAACGGCGTCCCACAGAGCTTCCCACGACGGTGAAACGCCCGTTTTCCGAGCCACCTGGTGCAGCCAGTGCGGCCCGGAAAATACGACCTTTGCAATTTTACTCTACTGCAGCCAGTCCCCATGTAAGCAGCCACGCAAGGCCAGTGGTGACCGCACCAGACAGTCTGGAGGGCGGGTCGTACTAGGGAAGCCGCAGTAGAATGGGGAGGCTGGCTGGAGAGGCCCGGACCGGAGCTCGGAGACCACGGTGGCCGGACCAGGAGGGGCGGGGGATGGGAGAGGAGGCAGAGTCCCCTGGGCTTGCTGGAACTGCCGGAGGAGAGGGGACAGGGCGCACAGCCAAGTGTCAAATCGAGTGACAGGCTGGCGCCTCGGGGACTGGCATGGGAAAGCACCAAGGAGGCCAGAGAACTTGGTCCGGCCCGACAGTGGCGCCCAGCCCAAGAGGACCCGCTGTCCCTCCCACCCAGCTGGGGCGAAGGGCCTTTGTTCTCGGGCCACATGCCAGGTGCAGGGGAGGTAGGACAGTGCCCTTCCCGAAAGCGTCTGCGTCCTAGTCCCCAAAACCCATGTGACCATGCGAGGTGACACGCAGCCCGGAGCAATCAGCCTGCTCCTTAGCGAGCCTGCCAATGGGGGCACGGCCCAGATGACCTGTTTGGGCCCAGCAGGACCTCCAGAGTCCTTGCACCCCAGAGGGCCAGAGAGGGGGACGGGTGTGACCTCAGGGGCGGGTCAGAGGCCTGATGGCAGACTTCTGGGCCACAGCACTGCCTGCGGTCGTGGCGTTGGCTCTAGGCCCCTGAGTTTGGGGGAATTTATCACTGATACACGCAGCTTATTTTTCTGCAAGTTGTCTTTCCGCTGCCCTCGTTGCCTGAGGCCTGGCGGGGTTATCCAGGATGAAGGTCACAGCAGACAGGCCGTCCCCACCCCCGAGTCCCCCCCCTCCCGTCACCGGGGCCCGATGACACGTACTGAACCTGCAGGTGCTGACGTTCTGGACCCCAGACTGCAGGCAGGGGCAGAAGCCCTCGTTGGGCGGGTAGACCGACCCGTTGGCAAACAAGGTGTCAGGGGCCTTGAAGCGGTAGATGGGGATTCCTTCGAACACCCCCGAGTCTTGGTAGATGAGCTTCATGGACCTGCAGGGGACAGACAAGGGGCAGGGTGACACTCCGAACTCAGCGGCTGTCACCAGGTCCTGCCGAGGGCCACCCACATGGAGCCTCTCTCCCCCACCGGCACCGCCACCCTTCCGGTCCCACAGGCCATCACGCTCCCCCTGAACTCGGCAGTTGCTTGAGTCCAATCTGCGTACGAGCTAGTGTCCTCACTGTGGCCCACAAGCCCCTGTGGGGTCCAGGCCCTGCCTGTCCTTTTCTGCGTCCCTCAGCCTCCTTGCACTTCCTCCAACACGCTCCCTCCTGCCCCCGGGCCTTTGCACCTGCCGCTCCTGGAACGCCTTTCCCTGCACCCCTCACACACCCTGCTGTGGCTCTCAAAGGCACATCCACACCGGAACTTGGACTAGAACCGCTCTGCTTACACTGGGTGTCCAGGGCACCACTCACCCCATGTGGCTCTGGCACCCCTGAAACTGGGGAGCTCCCATGGGGACACCCTGTTAGGGGCAAAATACATTCCGGGGTTCTGGGGTTTGGTACAGAAAGAAACGTAAAATATCTCTTCAGTAACATTTTACACGGTTCACACATCGAAATGATGGTGTTTCGCATATACTGGGGACAAACAAAACGTATCATGAAAATTAATGTCACCTGCCAACTAAAGAGTCACTGGTTCGAGTCCCAGTCAGGGCACATGCCTGGGTTACAGGCCAGGTCCCCAGGTGGGGACGAGCAAGAGGCAACCACACGCTGATGTTTCTCTCCCTCTCTTTCTCCTTCCCTTCCCTCTAAAAGTAAATAAATAAAATCTTTAAAAAATAAAAAACATAATTTCACCTATTTTGTGTTACCTTTATAATGCAGCCAGTAGTAAATTTAAAATCGAGCACGGGACTTGACCTAACATCTTTATGGGGTAGGCCCGGCTGAGCCCTCGGTGGCATTACACGGGTGCTAAGTTGCCTCGCTTTGATGGGTTACCAAAACGTCCTTGTTTTCAGAAAACACCCACCGCTGGCTGCCAGCACCCCACTTACTCTCACTCGGCCCAGGAACGATCTACCCTGAGAGGGAGACGGGGCAGTGAAGCCGCGGGGTGGGGGTGGGGGGAGGTAACTACACTTTCCTTGTCTTCCTCTAGGCTGCGACCCCTGCTCGTACAGGGGGAGCGCGCGGGTCAGCATCTCCTTCCGCCCTGACCTTCCCGGGGCACGTTGGCCAGAGTCCTCCCCCCCCAAACCCGCAGCCAGGGCACACAGCTCCCAAGGACGAGGGACCCGGCCCATCTCGTCACTGCCGTGTCCCCAGCACCTCGCACAGATGGGCTCCAGAGAGGTTCCCTGGGAAGGCGGAGGAATCCAAGTTAACGGGGCGGAGCCCCAACCCTGGACCCGCCGGGACTGTTCTGCCCAAACCGACTTCCCGGGGCTGCCAAGCCAAAGACTGAGGGGCTGACACGGAAGCACCCAGATGTCTCAGCGCCCGGACGGAATTCGGGCCGCCAGCCGGTGCCCCAGGGAGCGACCGTGTCCTTATTGCACAGCCCCCTGTGACACTGATGGTTTCCCACCCACCACCAATGCTGACAGGCTCCCCTGGCCCCGCTCTGAGTCCTCCAGGAGTGGCAGCGCAGGAGTCTAGCTCTTCAACATGCGACCAGCATGGGGTGGGGGCGGGGGGTGCCGAGGGCTCTGGCAGGCACGAGGAGCCGAAACTCCTCCCAAGTGACCACCGCAAAGCCACCTGTTTAGGCCTCAAAGCGGACCTCCGCGCCCAGGCTGCCTTACCGGCAGGCCTCCGGGCTGTAGAACTCCAGCGAGGACTCAGGGGTCATGAATGGCGCCCACATCTGCCCGGCCGTCCCATTGATCATGTTGCACTGGTCCGAGTGCCAGAAGTTGACCTGCGGGGGGCATGCGGACGGGGCGCTGAGGACAGCCGGGTCAGGGGAGCAGCGATGTCCCAGGCCGTGCACCCTGGGGTACAGGGCACCCCTCAATTCCCAGTACTGTCCCTGGACAGAAGCCAGGCCCATCGGAGAGACAGCCTGGCATGGCAGCAGGAGGGACCCTGGAAGATGCAACTTGGCTGGGGCCTCAGTTATCTCGTCTGTAAAATGGGCCTATTACACCCCCAAGGACCCAATGAGAGGGTGAGGTGACAGGTGAGACACTGACCCCCGTCTCAGGAAGCCACCAGACACTCCCTAAAAGCAGAGGAAGTAAGCAGGCGCCATGCTAAGGGACGTACTTAAAGTCACAATGGTGGCCCTCTCCCCCTCCCCCCCGGGGGAGAGCTGCAAACAGTGGCGGCCCGGACAGTCCCCCTTCCGCACTGGCACCGTGCGGGTGACCCCTGTGGGTGTGCATTTCTTCATCGGGAGAACAAGCCAGAGGGACCTTTAACATCCTCACTAAGAGCCACCGGCTAGGAGGGGCTCAGGCAGGGGCGGAGCCTGTCCCGGGTCCCAGGTGTTGGCCTGCCGACCAGGTGAGCACTTGGCAGGTGTGTGCGACAATCCTGTTTATGCGTAATGAGGAAAGGCCATCCACCCCCTGGGGGAAGAGGCCAGATGCCACACTGTGTACGCAGGATGATTCTATCGTGTTTGAAGCGGGGAAAAAGCCTGCCAAAGGTCTATGCAGATGGGTGCAAAGGGACAGGAAGAGTGTCTTTCGGCTGATAACGGTGGGCTTCCTCTGTGCGTCAGGGGGAGGAGAAGCTGGGTGTGCGACAGAGTGGGCACCACCTCTTTCTCTATTATCCCATTTTTAATGCCCCCTGTGTTTCTAGTGTAGTTTTATTCATTTTTTTACTCAGAACCTCTTCTGATGCAATGGGCGGTTATAGTGTTGGTGTAATATTTTGAAGATGTTTTTGTGAATTAGGAACCGCAGGAAAAAGAGTGAGATCATAACCATTTGCCACAACAGGGACGGACCTAGAAGGCCTTGCGCTGAGTGACGTGAGCCAGAGAGAGAAGGACAAATGCCCTGTGGTCTCGCTCGGATGTGAAATCTAAAGAACGAAAGGAATGAGCGGACCGACCAAACAGACTCGCCCACACAGAGAACGGACCGATGGCAGTCGGGGGTGGGGGGCTGGGGGACACAGGTGAAAGGCATGAGGTTCAAACGGACGGTCACAGAGCAGCCACGGGGACGCGGAGTCTGGCATAGGGAGCAGAGTCGGTCACGCTGTCATAACTACGTGTGGTGCCAGGTGGGGACCAGAACTATCACCGAGAGGCACTTTGCAAAGTGTGTGATTGGCTAAGCGCTGTGCGACACACTCAAAATGAATACAAAATAATATTGAATGGCAACTGTGACGGAAAAAAAAACCCCCACAAGAAAGGACTTCAGGGCCTAGTATACACTTGGTGCTAAATGTGTGTGGTTGCTTTGCCTCACCGGCACCCAGAGCTCTGAGCCTGAACCCAAGGTGTGCCCTCCCTCCCAGAGGGGACCGCCCTGTGGGTTTTAGGAGGAAGGTGTCACACGCCGCCCCCCCCTCCCTCCGGCTCTCACCTTGCTGACTCCGTTCCACTTATCCACCAGGTGGATCCGGCTGAAGTCTTTGATCCCCGTAAACACGGTGAAGAGCCCGGAATCCGAGTTGTTGAGCTGTGGGCATGGCAGAGAACAGCACCCCTAAGCCTCAGGATGGGGGCAAAGGGACCCTCACGCCTCTTTCTGCTGCTCCTGCATCCCAGCGCCCGGGGATCAAGAGGAGGGGGACGTGGGGACGTTTTAGAAGGGACACTCCTGAGTACAGCGTCCCTCCTAAAAAGTGTCCGCCTTCCTTCTCTTCCCAACTCCAGGAGAGTCTGGTTGCCCTGCTAGGTGCGTGATAGGGTCGCCCCCCGCAACACTCACTGAAGATAAGGCACAGTCATGTCACCTCTTCCACCAACAAAGAGAACCAGAAGTGGGGGCAGCTTTGTGGGCCAGCGCATGCGCATTTTACCTGCAGTTCACTGTGGAAGGATTGAGCTGCAACCTCCCCGCCGCTCCGGGGTCCCTGAGTAACCACAGAGAGCAGAGACCCCCCTACACTGGACACAAACAAGAAGTGAATCTTCACGGCGTGAAGCCCCTGACATTCCAGGGCTGCTTGTTACGCAGCGAAACTGGATGACAGACGCAGGGCCCGAGGTGTGGTCAGGCACTTTCTAGACAGTGAGCCCCAGGCTTTGGAGCTCCGAGAGTATTTTCTAGAATCCGACTTCTAACTCAGAGCAAAGACACGCAGAGAGGGAAAAGAAAGGTGTGGTGTAACCCCTGAGAAGGCCACAGAGTGGGTGGGGGGCAGGGCCAGGAACCCGGCAAGGGCTGTGTGCCAGCTGAGGGGCTACGGCGATGCCAACTGGTTCGGCAAACAGGCTCCACCTGGAGCGGGGCCGGTTCCAAGCCCCACTCTGGCCTCCGAACCCCAGTACGTCACGTCAGCCAACCATTCGGAGCTCCCCGAACTCGTATTTCAGCCATTATGGGAGGAGGCTGAAGGAGACACTACAAAGAGGCATTGGGACTATTAAAAATACAGTTTTACCTGGCTGGTGTAGCTCAGCGGATTGAACATGGGCTTGCGAACCAAAGGATAGCGGTTCGATTCCCAGTCAGGGCACATGCCTGGGTTGTAGGCCAGTTCGCAGCAGGGGACGCATGAGAGGCAACTATACATTGATGTTTCTCTCCCTCTTTCCTTCCCTTCCCCTCTAGAGATAAATAAATAAAATCTTTTTAAAAAAATACAGTTTTAAGCCCTAGTTGGTGTGGCTCAGTGCATTGAGCAAGGGCTGAGAACCAAGGGGTTGCTGGTTTGATTCCCAGTCAGGGCACATGCCTGGGTTGAGGGCCAGGCCCCCAGTGGGGGCCACGTGAGAGGCAACCACACATAGATTTCTCTCCCTCTCTTTCTCCCTCCCTTCTCCTCTCTCTAAAAATAAAGAAAATCTTTTTTAAAAAATACAGTTTTAATGTCTAAAAACTGCTGAGCACAGTCCTAGGACCTAGTAAAGCTCAAAGTGCCAGTCTTTTCCCTCATTATTATTGTTATTACATTCATAAATGCTAATTCGAGAAGATGGTAACCTACAATTATAACAGACAAAGTCTATCAGAGACTGCTGGTTACTACCCAAAGTCCACTCTCCCCTTTCTCCTTCAAAACAAAACCCAAACCTTATTTAGCATCAACTCGCCATCTAAAAGGCTACATTTCTTAGCTTCCTTTGCAGCTGGATGTGGCCATGTGACTAAGTTCTGGCCACAGATAAGTCAGTGGAAATTGATTTTCTCCCTCCCAAAGAGGAAGACAGCTGGGACATGCTGTTTTGTCCTACCTGCCCCCCAGCGCCCATGCTGCCTGGGATGTGGATGTGATAGCTGGTGATCTAGCAGCTCTATTGGACCATGTGGTAAGCTTGAGTATGGAAACCACGCCCTGAAAATGGCTGAGCACAGTAGTAGGATCCTGGATCATCGAAGGGTACAAAGCTACCACACCAACACTGAACTGGGTATTATTTGGGGGTTGCCACTATCCATGGTCAAATATAGATGACAGGCACGCTAGTGACTCTGCAACAACTCCCACTTGTTTGCAGGTTTACAGGGTGCTTTCATGGAATCCCGTCACCCCAAACCTGCCAAGACACCCACATACCCAGAACCAGTCAAACACGTGTGGAGCACCTGTCACGTGTCAGGGACAGAGTCATGATTTCTCCCTCCCTCTCCCCACGGCGATATATCTGCAGAGCGCAGAGAGGAGGTCGAAGCTGGAGCAACCTCAGGGGCTCATTAAAACCTGTTGCTGAGGGAACCAAGGTCCGGGTTAGAGGTCAGGAATCAGACTCCATGACAGATCATGGCTCAGAAAATCAAGCGCTGGCCCTACCAGGTTATCAGAGGTCAAGATTAGGAAACAAATCAGGCAGCTCAGAGCAATGCTATAGTCAACATTTATGACCTGCCTCCTTGGTGCTCACTCCCCATCTTCCAGCATAGATGCCAATTGTCTAAATCAGTCCGATCACAGCATATGAGCCTGGATCAAACTGCACCTGAATCCATCCTTAGAGTTTTCACTTATATGAGCGAATAGTTAAGCCAGTATGAGCTAGGTTTTCTGCCATTTACACCCGCACCCCCCAGGGCTCCCCAGCCAGCTCCAAAAGCCAGCTGGTAACTGCTGTCCAAGATGTGCTGACGGAGGACAAGACACAGACCCCGAACCTCTCACTGGGCCACACTTACCTCAGCAAACAGCCCAAACTTGCCCTTCAGAGGGAGCATGCCTGGTAAGTAGTTATTGATGAGGTTCACGAGGGGGTCGTCATAGCCCCACATGATCTCGCCCACTGTGCGGTTCATGAAGGCACGCTGGCTAAGGGTCGAGAACGCCAAGGTCATGAACAGCTTCAGACTCATGGGCCTATGTTCCAACATCATCGCTGCACTCTGCAGAGCAAGGGGACAGCGTGGGTCAGAGGCTGGGCATAGCTAGTCCATCCCCCTGGACCAGAAGCCAGGCCTCAAAACAAACAGCCCATCCAGGGACATGTTTGGGTCCAGGAAGGGCCCCTGCAGGGGACAGGAGGGTGTCTGGGGCATCCAGAACCATTCCCTGGTCCTCTGGCAGGAGGACTGCCTGTGCTCTTGGATTCGCACAGTCCCAGAAGCAGACACATGGCACAGGCCTAGCCAGTGAGAAGCCTCCCTCCTTCTAGCTGTCATTGGTCCAGAAATGTGTATGTGGCCCAATCAGAGCCAATGAGCCACAAGGGAACAATCTGCTGGGGCTGTGGCGTAGAAAAGGAAGGTCTTCCTATTGGCTTGAACGTGGGATGAACAAGGCTACAGCCATGCAGATGAGCCAATATTCTGGCGCATAAATGCAGTTGCAGGTGTGGCTTGATCCAGGGTGCAGCATTGTTGCCCAGAAGTGTCAACCCCTGCCCTTTTTGCCCAGTAACATGAGCCCACAAATTCCATTTTTGCTTATGTAAGTTTGAAGCATCTTTTACTGTCACCTTGTAAAAAAATCCTTAATGAAGACTCTACTCCACTCCCTTATCAGCTCTCTCCTAAGAGGTAAGAGTCCCAAACATCTGCTCTCCCCAATATCTAGGTGCTTAAAATACAAGTGATGTTCTCATTTTTGTTTTCCTCTGAAGATAGCATCTTGGCACTTGGTTTATCTTCTTAAAGGGACCCCATCCCAAAGCCAGTCTCCCTGTAGAAAAGTGAGCAGAACAAGTTTCCTAAAAGACGGGCTGTCTAATATGACTGGTTCCCTGGCCACTCACCAGGGTCTCCTTCATGCCGATGATTCGTTAAGGGTCATAAACCCACCCTTGTTTAAACGTTACGAAAGGATAGAATAACCTAGAAGGCCCTGGGTGCTGAGTCTAATGGGTTTGTTTCCCTGGTAGACGACACATCACATGTGTTAGCACCTGTGTCCATGGTTTGTCACAGCTCATCGCTGGGGAATGAAGCGTGTCCTGGGCGACTCTCCCAGAAGCTGGGCCGGGGACCAGCCCTGGGCCCTCCCCTTCCCGGGCCTCACTGTGCACTGTGCCCGCCCTTTGTAACGGGCTGCAGCTGTGAGCAGGGTGCTGTGCTGGGCCCTGTGAGCCTCCCGGCCAGTCAGTGACCCTGGGGTGGTCTTGGGGGTCCCAACACACACGATGAGCAGTCAGTCCATCCAGCTGTCACTGTGACTATCCCCTGCAAAAAATGGAGGCCCTGCCCACACCCTCTCTCCAAATGCCACTGATGGTGATGTGGCCTAGGGGTGCCTCTGTCAGTCCCCACCAGGACCTGCTTTTGGAGATTTCGGAAAAGGGCAAAACGATGACTCTGGCCAGCACCCTCAAACCAGAGACCAGTAGGTGTGCCCAGGGGACACTCATGGGGCTAGGAGTGTGGCCTGTGCACCATCCGGGGCAGGGGTCAGGGACGAGGACGGTAGCCTCACCAGGACCAGGATGTTGGGCATGACGATGTAGTCGCTCTCCAGGCCATTGGACTTGTCGGGCTGGAACCTGAAGTTGCGGATCTCGAGGAAGGACACTGTGTCATTGTCATTGAAGGTGATGTTGGTTTTGTGCCGGAACTCCCTGCAGAGAGGAGGCCTGAGGTAAGCGCCTGCTGGGGGGTGGGGTGACCCCAGGCTTCCCCGGGGCCCTTGGGTGTCTCTGCACATCTCCAACCCGCCAGCGCCACCGCCAAGCCCGGTCACCCCCCACACCTGTCCCGCCACAGGCCGCCCACCGCAGGACATGGCGCCAAAGCCTCTGAAAGGCTCACCAGCCACCTGAGGGAGCACCCCAGGGCTTGACACGTCCCCTATGCCTCCATCAGGTCTCCACTCAAATGGCACCTTCTCAGAGAGCCCACCCTGGTCATCGCCAGACCTAAAATGCACACAGCTCCGCACCTCCACACCCCTAGGTATCCCACCTTGATGGTGCCCCAAGTCAACTGCAGGCACCCCAGTGCTTTTTGTCCTTTCTGGGTCCCCCATGCAGAGAACAGTCATCTGTGTCCTTTGGGGCTCAGATGTTTGTTGAATGAATGACTGAATGCATGAATGGGTGAGGGAATGAGGGAATGAGGGAGTGAAGGAGGAAATGAGTGGTGAACGGGGGAATGAGCGAGTGAGTAAATGCACTCAGCTGACTCTGACCAGATTTTCTAAGCCCAAACCTCACGCACAGTGGCTGGGATTTTATCCCTGGTTGCCCAGCACCTTGAACAGCCCCACACTCTCTGTCCAGGAGGTCCCCAAAAAAGCCAGAGTGGGCTGGCCACCCCTCAGAGGGGGAACCCGGGCTCCACCAGCCACAGTGTAAGGTCCAAGGCACGGGCAGGGCAGGCAGCCAGGCCCCGGGTCCCGTCACACCCCGGCCACTCCCCTTGTGTGACGGGGCCAGCCAGTTCACCTCCGGGAATGATGGCCTGGGGACAGAGCAGGCTAACAGCCCACTGGGAGCACCTGCTCGCCAAGGCCCAGGGCACCGTGTGAACTCCCTGGAATGCGCCCTCATCGCATTCCTGTGTTCTGATAACCTGATCAGATTGCGTTCTGTTGTCATTGTCCCCAGTCTGCAGGAGGGCAAGTTGGGGCACAGCCACAGCCAGGCACGAGGTGAGGTCAGGCGGCTGAAGCCCGAGGCCGAGCCCAGGATCAGCAAGTCCACAAGCGGCCCACCCCTTCGCGGCCCGCCCTCCCTGTCCCCCATCCTGGGCACGTGACTCCTCCTTTCCAGTGCTCTGCTGAGTCCTGCTGCTCTGGGGACAAAGACGGAGTCCCCAGCATGGCCCACCAGGCCCCTCTGGCACAGGCTCCAGCTCCATCCCTGTCCCCCACCCGAAATGGTGCCCTCTTCCCTCCCGGCCCTGACTCCCAATCCCAGCCCCGCGCCCCGTGAACACTGACATGCGGCCTGGCCCTCCGTTCTCAGCAGACGGCTTCCATCTCTCTCCCACCGTGCCTCCACACCGGGCTCCAAAAACACCAGCTTGTCAGAAAAACAGCCCCGTGGCTCTCACGGCCACAGCCACGGCCGCTGCCCCCTGGCCCCTCGCCTGCTCTCGGTCCTCCGAGCCCTGCCCTCGGCCCCAGTGCATCCCAGCTGACCACAGCGGCCTCTCCACTGCCCCTCACACACGCCCCGCGCTGCCCGGCCCCAGAACCTCTGCACCTGCTGGCCGGGCTGCCAGCAGCGCCTCTCTCCACGGGCCACTCCCGCCCTCGCAGAGGAGGCCAGAAGGCCTCGCCAGATCCCACCAAAGAGGCGCATGCGTGTGGACACATGCAGAGCGCCCCCTCACCCCGCTGGACTCTCACAGCCCTTCACACCCACCACTGGCCGTCCTGTGACACGTTCCCTCCCTTCCGCACCAGGATGGCAGCTCTGAGGGCCGGGGCCCCGGTCTGGGGCCCTGCCGTTTCCCAGATGGGTTGGCTTATAGTAGGTGCTCAATAAACGTGCTGAATGATTGAGAGACTAGGGGAGAGCTGGGAGACCCCGCCCCCTGCGGCTGCAAGGGCACCAGTTTGGGGAGCAGCCCCCCCTTGCCTGGGGACCAGATGTGTGTGCGCTCCTCCCCCCGCACCCCCTCAGCTCCGCCGCCTTCCTGCTCCGTACACTGAGCCCCACCCTTCCCCCTCCCCACCTGGCCTGCCTCCGAGATAATTTCTGGGTCTCAGTACTGCAGCCCCCACACCCTGTCTGCTCCTAGACACCCACCCTGCCAGGGCCACCTCTGTCCTTACCTGTACACGTAGGGCCCACGCTCCCGCACCTGCGGCTTCTGGCCCTGGAGGATGGCGCTGGGGTTGACGATGTCGAAGAAGTAGACGGAGAGGTAGAAGGGGACGGGGATGTCCTTCCACATGTTGAAGGACAGGCTACTGGGGTCGATGCGCACGTTCTGGGGGGGGGGGCGACACAGACACACCTGTGAGGAGGGCCACCAGGCGGCCTCGCGCCCGCCCGCCCACCACTCAGCTCCAGAACAGCTGCCCAGAGCCGGCCCTCACCCCTGGTGCCCTCACCCCACAGCACGTCGGGAAGGCAGGTTTACACCATTAAAGTCAGTAGGTAATCTAGTCACCCTGGTTTCTCGCATGTTTTAACAATGGCTTGAGCAGGGGACCCTGGCCAACGGGGGCCCCGGCCCCACTGAAAGGTGGTGGCTGCCGCTCTACGGCACCTGCAGTCCAACATGTCACTCATTCATTCCTTCCTCGACAAACGCGTACTGAGCGCCTGGCGCCTGCCAGGCACTCTTCTGAGAGCCGAGGGCAGGAGAGTGAGTCAGACAGGCCCCGAGCCCCAGCTCCGTGGGGCCTCCGTGCCCCGGGTGGGAGAAGGGGGGCTGCGCAAACGCAGCAAGCCTGCAGGTGTAAACAGAGCTGCGGTTGAGACGCGGGCACCGACAAAACAGCCCACCAGACTGAAAGCCAGAGGCGGGGGCCCACGGAGCAGCAGCAGCCGGTGCAAAGGCCCTGAGGTGGGGAGGCACGGAGTCGGAGTGTCTGGGGCCAGCGAGGACGCCGGTGTGGCTGCGGCACAGCCTAGGAGGGGACAGCAGGGGCTGGCAACCAGAGCTGGCTTCCTCAGAAAGCCAGAAACACAGAAACCTGTACAAAATGGCCTAATGGATGGAGCATGACAAAAACTTGATTTTTCTTAAAAGGTCAAAGGAAATAGGCCTGAAACCCACCCAGCAAGTTCAACAGTCAGATCCACTGGCCTCCATCTCTGCTTCCCCCCCTCAGCTCCACAGCCCTCTGCCCCGGTGTCCCAGGAAGGTCCCCCGCCAGCTCCGAGAGTGCCACCCAGCAGGCTCACATCCCCTCTGAGCTGGAGTCAAGAGGAGCGACCAGCCCATCGGATACACGGCAAAGCCAGGCCTCCGGGGAGGCCAGCATCGCACCTTCCAGCTCCTGAATGCGGCCTTCCAAGACAGGATGCCCCCCCGCCCCCCCACTGTCCCCACACAGCCAGTTCCAACAGGCAGAGGCCCTGGAGGAGCAGAGGCTGAAGCTGCCTGCTCAGGCCCGGCCCCCTGGCCCCAACCCGCAAACTTGGGGAAGAAGCCAGAGCCCAGCCCTTCAGGCAGGCCGGTCGCCTGAGCCTTAGCTTCCCCCTCTGTACCTCTTGAGGGCTAGTGACTCTGCGGTCTCAGCCATGGCTCGTCCAGCCTACTCGGCGTGTAAATGGAAAGAAGGTAAAGTCATGGCCAAGAATAAAAACCTTGGCAGGAGGCGCTCATGTAGAGCTTTTGGAGTTATCTTGAAAGTGTCAGACTCACGATAGACAAACACGTTGTTCCGACCTGCCGTGGGGAGCTGGAGGAGCGTGGGACACCTCGGCAGCCGGGAGGCACCGAGGCGGTGACTCATAACCTGACCGAGCAAAGCCTCGGATAAACCCAGCCCGGGGGCACCTGTGTGCCCAGCTCTTCACCACACCGTCCCCTCCCTTCCAGTGCCAGGACCCTCCTGCCAGTATTGTTACTGAGTCTGTTTCCTTGTCACTTTCAGTGGGGACGTGAGTGATGGGCCCCGCCACCAGGAAGATCCTGCTTTGGAGGAGGAGGTGGGGGCCAGGGTCCACGGTGCTGATCACCGCCGACCCCTTCGGTGGGAGGCCAAGGCCAAGGGTGCGGGATGGGGGTCGGGGAAGGTGGTCTCTGTGTGCAGCCGTAGGGAGCAGAGGGCCTGTCCCCAACTCCGTCCTGATGTAAACGAGGGAGCTCGGGCACACACTGGGGATGCCTCCTGCCCTCTGCACGGAAAAGACCTGCGTGAGGCTGGTAACCAGGGGCCCGGCCTGCCCTGGCCGCCCCGGGCCCTCTCTGCGGGGAGGGAGACAGGGAGGCAGCAAGCCCGGGCTCCTTCTTCCTGTGCACGTGTGTGTGTGAGGGATAAGAACACACGTCAGATGTACCCTCTTAGCAAGTATCTGGATGCATAGCCCAGAAACGTTAACTATGAGTGCTCTGCTGTTCGGTGAGTCTCCAGGACCTACCCACCGAGCACGGCCAGAACAACAGTGACAATCGTGAACAGAGAGCGTGCACCACGGCTGGCATGGCTCAACTGGCTGGAGCTTTGCCCTGTAAACCCAAAGGTCTCAGGTTCGATTCCTGGTCAGGGCACGTATCTGGGTTGCAGGTTTGGTGTGTATGAGAGGCAACCAATCAGTGTTTTCTCTCCCGCTCCCTCCCTTCCCCTCTAAGCATGTCCTCAGGTGAGGATTAAAAATAAATAAAAGCACACCCTGGCTAGTGCAGCTCAATGGAGTGAGTGCCAGCCTGCAAACCTAAGGGTCGGGGGGTTCGATTCCTAGTCAAGGCACAGGCCTGGGTTGTGGGCCAGGTCCCCAGTAGGGGGCATGTGAGAGGCAACCACATGTTGATGTTTCTCTCCCTCTCTTTCTCCCTCCCTTCCTCTCTCTCTGAAAATAAATAGACAAAATCTTAATCAGTAAGTAAATAAATAAAAATAAAATGGATTTTTTCAATGGGATTTAACTGGAAAATAAAGAATGTGAGCAGATATTTGCGGCAGTGACAGCTGTGTGCCCTCAAACTCATGCAGCAAACACACAGAGTGACATCCGCAGCTTTTCTTCAGGTCAAGATGTCACAATAAAATGGTTTTGAAAGAAGAGTTTCTGGTTCCTGCCCCCCCCCTCCCGGGACACATTTCTTGGCAAAGGGAATTGGGCCTGGAAAAGCCTCTGGAATCCCGGAATCCTGGTGTTTTCCTCATCCACTGGGCTGCTTTTCAGATAAACTGGTCAAACCAGTAACTCACTAGATACAGCCCCAGGTATCTCTCTCTGTCTCTCTCTCCAATGAAAGGGAATTCAGGGCTCTGGGGTCCCGCCCCCTCCCAAGGCTCTCACCCACAGGGAATGGTGGGCGACCTCCGGGCCGGGTGACGGCGAACAAGTCGCCGATCTTCTGTGCTCCTTGGTTTTCTCATCCGTGAAATGGGCATGGCGGCAGCGTCCACCTCCCAGGCCCCTGTGTGGTCTAACTGCTTCATGAAGGTGGGGTGCGGAGACCCGGGCCAGGCAGGACTCTGGACGCAAGGTCAGCCGTGCGGCCCCTAGGCACCAAGTGACCGACCCCTCCCCCGCCCCTCCTGCTGCCCCACCCCACCTCACGTGGGGACCAGACTCCGCAATGCTTTTGATTTGCAGGCCAGCTTTCTTTCGGCCCTAGGAGAGCAGAGGCACCTGGACCGGGCAGCTGACCAGATCCTGGTGATTAGAAATCTGATCACTGGTCCGCCCGGATCACAACCTTTGGTCTGAGTACCTAATTCTGTCCCCACCCTCTCCCCCCAAGGTCAAAGATTCTGTCCCCACCCCTTCCCCCAGGGTCAGAGATCACAACCCAGAACACAAAGCCTGGGGGAGAGGGACAAGGGGTGCCCCTCCCTCTTATCCAATCCATCCCTAGAGAGCCAGGAGGGCTTCCTAGAAGAGGGGCCCTGGGAGCTGGGCACGGGACAAAGGAGCTGCACTTCGCCAGGAAGAGGTGGCAGGAAGGGCGTTCTTGGCCGGGGACACAGGCTGTGCAAAGGCTAGGAAGGAAGCTGGCAGGAGCAGGACTAGATGTCTGCCAACGACAAGTATGTTTAAAAAACATTTCCTCAAAATAACCCGAACATCCGCCAGGAGGCAAACGGCCACCCCCCTCCCCCAACAGTGGAACCTGACGCCCGAGTAGAAAGGCACTGAGCACTGACAGACGCCGCAGCACACAGCGCCTCGAAAGCACCCGGCAAAGGCTTTGACGTGGCCAGACGGCACACACTACGAGCTCCGTGACTTCACTCGTATGACATTCGGGAAGGGGGACAACCGTGGGGGCAGACCCTGGGCCGAGGCTGCCAGGGGCCGCAGGGGGATGGAGGGGACCGAATGCCAAAGGGCGTCAGAAAACCACTTGGGGCGACTACAACCCCTCGTATGTTGATGTCTGCGGCCACACGAGTGAGCAGTACCTGCCTGATAAAATGCATCCAGCTGTTAAGGGTAAAAGGATGAATGTCCGGGGTGTATTTTGAAAATAGTACGCTAACATTTTCTGACAGTGTCCCTGACGATTCAAACAAATACGTCACCAGCCACCCATCTGAAGTGCGCCATTCAATGGTCCTCGCACACTCAGAGCCATGTGGCCGCCACCACCATCCAGTTCCAGAACAATGTTACCGCCTGAAACAAAAGCCCGGCCCCTTGCCGCCCCCCCCCAGCCCCGCCCCCACCGATCTACTTTCTGTCTCTGGACTGGCCTCTTTTCAGATACACAGAATCACCCAAGACTATACATGTGTCCATAACACTGTATGTAGTTCTCAAAAACAAGCAGGGATACCCACGGGTGGCTTCTTTCACTTAGCATAAGGCTTTCAAGGTCAATGCCATTCCTCCAGGCTATGTGCACGAGCCGGATCTGCTTGGGAACCCAAATCAACAGATGCAGCGCTTGCTTGCATCACGCCTGCCGAAAGAGACACGCGTGAGCCCACCCGGGTTCACGGCAGCCCAGCGAGGGAGGTGGCCTGTGTGTCCGTCAGCAGGGGAGTGATCACACTCCAGCCCGTGCACTCCAGGGAGGCCTGGACCGTGGCGGACCCTGGCACAGGCTGCTACTGGGATCGGCCCTGAAATCACACGACTGCGGGACCCAGACCCCAGAGGACAGAGGCTGTGTGGCTCCATTTGGGCGAGGGGCCCGGAACAGACAAGTCTAGAGACGGAAAGCAGAAGGATGGTTGCCAGGGAGCATGGGGCTTCCTCCTGGGGCGACGGAGACACTTGGTCACCAGGAGTTAAGGACGGTCACGCTGCCTCCTCAAGGCGCTAAATGCCACTGAACTGTGCGCTTGTAAATGGTTTAAATGG